ATAAGGTCAATGAATGCCAAGTGAGTACCTGATTCTTAGAACAGTAACCTTTTTCTTCAATTTTCATCCATCTCCCTGACAATGAAGCATTTCATAAGCCTTAATGTACACAAGAACATCTGGAAATATTTTGATAATCTGAATATTCACTAAATGGAAAACTATCCTGAGATGAATACTACCATTGGTAATTTTGCCAAGACCTAAACTACAGAAAAGTCTAGATTAGGAAGACTGTTTTTCCATGGCTAAAAGAAAACAGAACTAAAAGAGAAAACATCTCAGACTCATTTATCACAATCTTTTAAGTGTTAGCTGGTAGTCTCTGTGTGGGAAATACAGGTATCTCACTAAAAGTGTCTTCAACCAAATCCTTTGTTGGTTTAGTGATATCCGTACTTTTATCTGCCCAGTATTTTTTGTGACCACTGTGCATGTTTGTTTTCTTAACACATAAAGCCATAGAGTGTAGGCACTCTCTTCCCAGCATGCACAGAAAGGAAAAATTGAGTGTCTAAGAACCTTTAGAATCAGACCTGAAAATTTTCTTACTTAGCTTATGGATTCAGGGAATTGGGGATAGAGTCACTAAAGAGGCTGAGATGGCAGAGAAGGGTGGAAGCACTTTTAATCACAGAAGAGTAAACAATAGTATAAACCGTCAACGGTTCACCCAGTGGCTGTTGTCCTCCTCTGGCCCTCAGCGCACCCTCTGCCACCCCCCCCAACTCCCTGTGTACCATTTAGTAAAGAGCAGGGAATCAGCAGCTGTCCCTGTAATCACCAGGTGGCAGGAAGGGAATCTAGCTAGGGGCCACAGAAATCTTGGTCATCCCATCCATGGTTGTCTGTTTCTGTACAACTTCATGTGAAATATTCCAGCTCCGAGGAGGAACAGTGCAGAAACCTGGAGCTGAACTTTACTGTTCTATTCGGATGGCCTGAGCTTCGGGAGCCATGGACCACGAGGGAGGGGACAGTCCAGAGCCAGCATTATTCAAGGCGCAGCCAAATCTGGGGTTGAGGTGGGTTCAAAAGGGACACAAGGCCTAGGGGCCCCAGTCTAGAATTGTGCCCCAACTCAGGAAACGAAACCCATGCACATGCACAAACGCATATGCACACGCGCGCGCACACACACACACACACACAGAAGCAAATAACATTACTGAAAGAACCTGGAGGCTATTAAATACAAAATGGCAGAGTTTTTTTTAAAAAAAGTGAAAATATTTGCTTTTTTGATGCCCCTCGTTGCATGTTCTATCGACGGAGCCAGTCAGGTGGCCTGGTGTGTGTGTGTGTAAGATTTTATTTATTTATTTGACAGAGAGAGAGAGACAGTGAGAGAGTGAGAGTGGGGAGGGACAGAGGGAGAAGCAGACTCCCCGCCGAACAGGTAGCCCGATGCGGGACTCGATCCCAGGACCCCGGGATCATGACCTGAGCTGAAGGCAGACGCTTAACGGACTGAGCCACGCAGGCGCCCTTTAATTGATTTATTAACCATTAGCATAGTCTTCCTCTAGAAATCGCCTATTCATATCCTTTACTCCCTCCCCTGCCTTTGTCTTGTTATTGGGTTGCCTTTGTTGTTTCTTTAGTTATGTATATTCTGGATACTAGTATTTTGTTAGTTACAGGTCTTGCAGGTTTGACTGAGACAGTCTTTCAGAGCTTTTTTATTTGGGAGTTGGTGGTAGCGGTGTAAGAATCCCACGTCGTCTGTATCATCATGCACCTGTCTCTCCAGAGTGGTGCCATGGGTAACTGATCTGAGACCATTTTCATGCAAGTTCTTACCTGGGGATGGGGTGGGGATGGGGTGGGGGTGGGGGGTCATGATGTGTCCTAGACCACACAGGAAGCGTGTATTTAAGTTCTCAAATTCCCATGGAGTGTGGGCCCAGAGTTTGAGGAAATTCTTGACTCTCCTGACCCCACAAGCCCAAGCAAACTTGCTTGCGTCCTTCTTTTGCCAACCGGATGAATTTTTCATAGTTTCCCCCCTTTCACTAAGGCTGTTGCTATCTCAGGGTCCCAGCTTTAACTGGAGGTCTCATTTCCAGCTTCCTGCATGGTCTTGTCTGTTGTTAGCATTAAAACCCAAGTTCTTCAGTCATGTTCCCTCACCGCTCTAGTAATTGCATCGGCTGTTTTACCTTCTGCATTAGTTTTCAGTTCCTTTCATTGTGTCTTTGGTGTCCAAACAAACTTACAAACAAAACAAAACCCTTTTCCTACCATTTCTAGCTGTCTCAGGTTATTTTAGCCTGCATTATGCCGGAGCTGGTATCTTTCATGTACTTTGACATCTCTTCTAAACATACCTTTCCATTCCTGTTTTCCTGGCAAAACTCTACTCATTTTGAATGGCCAAGCTCCACTTTCAAGTTTTCTCCCACCTTGCAAAGAATAATTTAGAAAGTTCTTTTTTGCACTGTAGTATTTTCCCCCCTTACTGGGGGGTATATGAACTCTTTGAGAGTAGAAACCAGATCTTGTTCATCTTTGTGTCCCCACATTCTGCCACAGTGCCTATCATAAAGTAGGCACTTAACAAATATTTTATTGAACTGAAAATGTTTCCCTGCATGAATACTGGATATAAAGTCTGAAGTATTTGGTTTACAATCAGCATACTGAATCACCTACTAACTAAACTCGTGATTATTTTAGGATTGCGATAACGTGAAACCTCATGATACATGATGGGCAATCTAAGATGTTTGTGGTTTTTTGTTTTGTTTTTTAAAGTAATCTCTACACCCAGTGTGGGGCTTGAACTCATGACCCTGAGATCAAGAGTTGCATGTTCTATCGACGGAGCCAGCCAGGTGCCCTGGTGTGTGTGTGTGTAAGATTTTATTTATTTACTTGAGAGAGAGCACGAGCAGGGGGAGGGGAGGGGCAGAGGGAGAGGGGAAGTAGACCCCCCATTGAGCAGGGAGCCCAATGCAGGGCTCAATCCCAGGACCCTGAGATCATAACCCCAGCCAAAGGCAGATGCTTAACTGACTGAGCCACTCCAAGTGCCCCTATGTTTGTGTTTTTCAAGCAGTTTCTAAGACTCAGTTTCCTCAATGTGGCAGTTAGAACTTTTCAAAGATGAATGTAACTGTATGTCCCATTGCACATGCTCTTCTGCGGTGAGCCTTGCTACTCTTCATCGAGGTAGTAGAGTCTCTCTCACCACCCTCTTGAATCTAGGTGGTCCCTGTGACTTACTTTGATCAGTAGAACACAGTGGAAGTGATGTATGTCAGCTCTACATGACATTCTTCTTTTTTTTTTAAGTAGGCTCCACACCCAGTGTGGAGCCCAGCACAGGCCTTGAACTCATGACCCTGAGATCAAGACCTGAGCTGAGATCAAAAGTCGAGTGCTTGGGGCACCTGGATGGTGCAGTCGGTTGAACATCTGACTCTTGGTTTTGGCTTGGGTCGTGATCTCGGGGTAGTGGGATTGAGCCCCATGCTGGGCATGGAGCCTGCTTGAGGTTCTCTCTCACCCCCTCCAAAAAAACAAAAACAAACAAAAAACGACACTGGGTTTGATTCTTTATTAGCTGTTTGACCTTAGGCAAGTTAACTTCTTTTTGCTTCATTTTGATCATATGTGAAGTGCTTCATATAGTGCCTGGCATATAATGAAGAGCTAGGTGTTATCTATTATTATTTTTACTATTATACCATTCAGTTGCATCTTCTGTCAGATTAACCGGGACAACTAGCCCTAGATTTACAGAGTAGTTGTTCAGATTTCAAAAGGCTTAAAACCGTATCTTTTAAAAGTATTTCATTCAGGGGTGCCTGGGTGGCTCAGTCGGTTAAGCGACTGCCTTCGGCTCAGGTCATGATCCTGGAGTCCCGGGATCGAGTCCCGCATCGGGCTCCCTGCTCAGCTGGGAGTCTGCTTCTCCCTCTGACCCTCCCCCGTCTCATGCTCTCTATCTCATTCTCTCTCTCAAATAAATAAATAAAATCTTAAAAAAAAAAAGTATTTCATCCATATTTCACAATTACTAGTCTTTTCAACAATATGGCAAGTTGAGGAACTAAATATAAGACTTCAGGCTAGTTCTGACCAAATAACTATGTAAGATTTTTCAGAAATAATTTTCACATGCCCCAAGGTAAGTCTTTTTAAAAGCCAGCCACTCAGGGGTGCCGGGGTGGCTCAGCTGGTTAAGCATCTGACTCTTTGATTTCTGCTCAGGTCACGAACTTAGGGTTGTGGGACCGAGCCCTACGTTGGGTCCATCCAGGGGTGGAGCCTGCTTGAGATTCTCTTTCTCTCCCTCTGCTCCTAACCCCACTTGTGCATGCTCTTAAAAAAAAAAAAAAAAAAAAAGGCCAGCCGCTCAGTAAGGTAATTTTAGCAGGGTCTATATCCCAATAAGGTCAATGAATGCCAAGTGAGTACCTGATTCTTAGAACAGTAACCTTTTTCTTCAATTTTCATCCATCTCCCTGACAATGAAGCATTTCATAAGCCTTAATGTACACAAGAACATCTGGAAATATTTTGATAATCTGAATATTCACTAAATGGAAAACTATCCTGAGATGAATACTACCATTGGTAATTTTGCCAAGACCTAAACTACAGAAAAGTCTAGATTAGGAAGACTGTTTTTCCATGGCTAAAAGAAAACAGAACTAAAAGAGAAAACATCTCAGACTCATTTATCACAATCTTTTAAGTGTTAGCTGGTAGTCTCTGTGTGGGAAATACAGGTATCTCACTAAAAGTGTCTTCAACCAAATCCTTTGTTGGTTTAGTGATATCCGTACTTTTATCTGCCCAGTATTTTTTGTGACCACTGTGCATGTTTGTTTTCTTAACACATAAAGCCATAGAGTGTAGGCACTCTCTTCCCAGCATGCACAGAAAGGAAAAATTGAGTGTCTAAGAACCTTTAGAATCAGACCTGAAAATTTTCTTACTTAGCTTATGGATTCAGGGAATTGGGGATAGAGTCACTAAAGAGGCTGAGATGGCAGAGAAGGGTGGAAGCACTTTTAATCACAGAAGAGTAAACAATAGTATAAACCGTCAACGGTTCACCCAGTGGCTGTTGTCCTCCTCTGGCCCTCAGCGCACCCTCTGCCACCCCCCCCAACTCCCTGTGTACCATTTAGTAAAGAGCAGGGAATCAGCAGCTGTCCCTGTAATCACCAGGTGGCAGGAAGGGAATCTAGCTAGGGGCCACAGAAATCTTGGTCATCCCATCCATGGTTGTCTGTTTCTGTACAACTTCATGTGAAATATTCCAGCTCCGAGGAGGAACAGTGCAGAAACCTGGAGCTGAACTTTACTGTTCTATTCGGATGGCCTGAGCTTCGGGAGCCATGGACCACGAGGGAGGGGACAGTCCAGAGCCAGCATTATTCAAGGCGCAGCCAAATCTGGGGTTGAGGTGGGTTCAAAAGGGACACAAGGCCTAGGGGCCCCAGTCTAGAATTGTGCCCCAACTCAGGAAACGAAACCCATGCACATGCACAAACGCATATGCACACGCGCGCGCACACACACACACACACACAGAAGCAAATAACATTACTGAAAGAACCTGGAGGCTATTAAATACAAAATGGCAGAGTTTTTTTTAAAAAAAGTGAAAATATTTGCTTTTTTGATTCTCCTCAGTGCCCTGCAGACCCCCAGTCACAAGCGTGTGGATGCGGGGCGGCCCAAGAGGAGGAGGCGGCCAGGGGCCCTGTAAGTCCATGTGTGCCGTGGCCCCGCGCCGACCGCCTCACTCCTCAGCCCAGTAGCTTCTCCCCGGGTGACCGTTCACCCGGTTGGCGCCATTGCTGGGGCCACTGCCGCAGGCGCTCTTGGGGTTGGTGGCCACGTCTTCCTCCTCTGAGCTGCTTTCCACATCACTGCGGTCATCCTTAGACACCTGGGTGGGATGGGGCCAAAGGTGGGAAAGGTGCGGAAAGAACTTGTCTGCTATCGGAAGACAGACTCGGGCCCACAGAGCCCGTGCCTGGGCACTGCTCCCACTGTGGCCGGCTTTCTGGCGGCACCTGACTCAAAATACTATCTGGGCCATGGCTACGGCTGGGATTACCCTCTGCCTCTTTCTCGATGTCTCTCTTGTCATCTTTGCTCCCTATGGAACAAGAAGCTGTGTGGTAAGGGTGTGTCTCTCAGGACCGGCCTGAGAGAGCTGAAGTCATTCACTGAGTCTGGGTGTAGGCCTGAGGGAAACTCCAGATGCTCTCTCTCCTCTCCCACCTCAAACACTAGAAAAGACCAGTACAAACAACACAGGTGGCTGTCATCATTGCTTCTATGTTCTGGTGGTGGCGGCCCCTGGAGTTACTCATATTGGTCATTCTGACTTTGGTTTATCCCCAGAGCTGATCCAGAACTAGGCCTTTTTCAGTCATTCTGCTCTTCCTGGACTCAGTCCTATGACACCAAAGTATTTCCAGTTCTCTACCATGGACCATAAAAAGTAAAGAAGAGAAACCCAGTGAGACCTGCCAGACTTCTGACCTCCAGAACTGAAGGATAATCGATGTGGGGTTTTTTAATTTTTGTTTTGTTAAGTAAGCTCTGCACCCAGTGTGGGGCTTGAATTCATGACTCTGAGATTAAGAGTTGCCTGTTCTACGGACTGAGCCAGCCAGGTGCCCCTCAATGTGTTTTGTTAGAAAAAGAAAAAGTAGGGGTGCCTGGGTGGCTCAGTCGTTGAGCATCTGCCTTCGGCTCAGGTCATGATCCCAGGGTCCTGGGATCGAGCCCCACATCGGGCTCCCTGCTCGGTGGGAAGCCTGCTTCTCCCTCTCCTGCTCCCCCTGCTTGTGTTCCCTCTCTCGTTGTCTCGCTGTGTCTCTCTCTGTCAAATAAATAAATAAAATCTTTAAAAAAAAAAGAAAAGAAAAGAAAAAGTAAAGGAGAGAGGGGGGTGAGAAAGGAACAGAGCTACAAAGGCTGTTGCCAAGGCGTGGGGCACTTGCTTTGGTTAGCTCTAAGACTGGTTTATTGCAGCTGCTGACCTCTGAACCCAAGCAAGTGATTACCTGACCTTTAGGAAGTTTCTACCAGAGGGCAGAGTCTATCTAGATTTGAGGTAAAGGGAGGCTCAAAAAGGGGAAAATATAAAGAGTAGACTCAACTCTTGCCTCCATTTACGAACAAGAATCTGGCAACTTGAGCTCCAGTCAACAATGGCCCCACAGGGTCAGGAGAGAGGCATGCTGGGAGACAACACAGGGAACAGGAAGGAAAGCAGGAAGGAAGAGAGACACATTCAGACAGACATGCTTTACTGAACGCTAGAAGCACAGATACACTTACATGCAAGAGATGAAACTGTCCAACTCCCACCAGGCATAGAAAAAAGGAAGGAGGTGAGAAAAGAGTGGAGGGTACAGAATCTGGGTCTAATCCTTCCTGGATAGGTCACCTGGTCAGGAAAGAAAAGCAGGGGAGAAGAGAGATGTCCAGTAGCCCAGAAGCTACAGCAGGATGCACAGGCACACTGAGCAAGTTCTAAAACCAGTTGCAGCCATAAGGAACAGGGACATAACAGATCATATATGCCTGGGTTGCATTCTATTCCTCTCTCCTAGACTCAGTGTCTCCTCTGGCAGAGAGCCCCACCCCCCCACCCCCCAGTGCTCTGTATTGCTGAAGGCTGAATCCATAGCCCACGGGCAAATCCCCACCTGACTGATTCAGAATTTGCACACTTCAGCTATGAGTTTGATCATTAAATGACCCCCTTCTTTGTATTTTTGGGCTCTCAGAGTAAGGTGGGTATTTGAAACCCTAAACACCTATCTCATTTAGGATCACCACCTCATTCAACAGTGGGATGAGGCCAGTACTTAGCCCCATATCTTGAACATCACAGTGTAATCATCTTGGGGTGGCTTGCGAACTACCATGCCATTCTTAGGCAATCAAACACGGCTGCTTTTATACAGTTCCCAGTTTAGAGTTTTTCTGTGCTAAAAAACAAAAATATGAAATGCACTGAAGTAGGTAGGTAAGGGGTAGGAAATGGGTGAGGTCATCTCGAAATGTAATACTGTTCATTATTTAACACAGTCATTCCTAAGGGACAGGAGGAAGGCAGATCCTTCCTCCTGCATCTATGTCTTTTTTTTTTTTTAGTAATCTCTACACCCAACGTGGGGCCCCAACTCACAACCCAGAGATCAAGAGTCACATGCTCTACTGACTAAGCCAGCAAGGTACCCCTCTAAGTCATGTCTTAACAGGCTCAACACTTAGAGAAAAGGTGAAAACTCTGGAGTCCTAAGCTTTCTGCTGGGTGTGCTTGAGTAGCTGTGGCTCACTAAGCTAGAGAAGGTCTACTGAGTAATATCTATCTTGCTACCCAGCCCCAAAGAAAGAAGCCATCTTTCCTCCTCACCTTTCCTCGGATCAAAGCTTTGAAAGCAATTCGCACAATTAGGTAGGACCAGATGACATGTAGAACCTGCAGGATCAGGAGAAGGCCATTGAAGAGCCACCAGGAGGGATAAGGCCCGATCATCTCCCAACTCTCAAAGAAGGTCGTGTTCAGAATCCTAGAAGAAGAGGCCAGTGGTGAGATTCTAGAGTCAAAGCTAGGTAGATAGGAATAAAGCTCAGTTCCCTAGGAAGCAGAACCCAGTATGTTTTCTCTCTATACATTCTAACAGTTGAAATGCCAGGGATATTCATCCACAGTGAGAAAAGATAAAGAAAGGGGGCCTATGAAGTTTTCTATCTTAAAAGGCAGGGAAAGATATGTAAATCTCAGAAACTGATGGATTAAGTCCTATCATTAATTGTTTCAAATATGAAGAGTTTCACAAAACCGGGGCAGCAATTTTAATCATAATCCTAGTCATTACTCAGATTCTTAGGCACAGATAGGACAGTTTGTAGTTGATTCCCTCAGACTAAGGAGAATCTCCAACCTACAGTCATTGGCTTTGTACAGAAAGCAGTGAGTGTAGAAGTGTGAGTGGTGTGTGTGTTGGTTATGATGGGGGAGGGTATAAGAGCAGGAAAATAAGAAGAGCCTGAGAGTTTTGCAATCAGCGCAAAAGAAGGCAAAGGAATTACTTAGGCATCAAAGGAGGGCTTGTTCCCAGAGGGGAGTCTGGAAAGCCACAGGCAAGTGAGTTGGATGTTCTCAGTCTGGATCACATCTTCCTAAAAATACTGTGCGAGGGAAGTAAGGTCCCGTGAGAGTCCATAAGGGGTCAGGTTAGGCCCAGGATAAGGCAGGGCAATAGGGTTTTTTGGTGGCCTGTTCCCTAAATTGGCAAAAGGTATCATTAGCTACATACTGACCACTGCTCCATGGCCCTAACACTTACCAGAATGGGTAGATTCCTAGACGAGTGACCACAAAAACTGCACTGAAGATCACAAAAAGGGTGTCACAGAGACGCTGGTATTTGGCATAATTGGCCAGTTTGGCTGCCTGGAGAAAGGAAGAGAAGAACTGAATTGGGGGGTGGGGGAAGAAAAAGAATTGAGTTGGGGATAAAGCCAATTCTCAGAGAGGAAGAAAAGGAGAGAAAGAGGAATAATGAGGAAAGAGAGGATGGAGGGGGCGGTGGTCCTTACCTCCAGCAAGAAGTCTGAGGCATCATGTAAACACATGACCAGAGTTCCCACCCGAACCATGTTGTTGATGTAGGAGAAGGTGATAAGCCCAATGGTGGCCAAGTGATGCACAAACATGATCAGGAAGTCCTAGGATGGAACAGAAATAGAAGGGGTGGGTAAAGGCAAGGACATAGAGGTTCTATTTTGTTTTAAACTCTCCCTTATGGAGCACCCTAGCATTTGACCCAAAACTCTATACCAGTAACTGACCCCTAATCTATGTTAATATAGCTCAAAGTACAGAAAATAACAATTTTGTTTGGACGTTGCAGAATATGTAGACCATGTATGCTGACCTGACACTTGGAAATAATTTCCCAGGTGGTAATCACACCAAAAGCGGTACCTTTGATATTCTAAGATTGTTCTGATGAAGGAAATTTCAACCAAAGGGACCTAACAGGAGAGGTTTGTGGAGGGGTGAAGCTAAACTCTTCTAAAAAGTTTCAGAGAAATACTAAATAATCTATCTTAACTGTAAGCACCTTCTGCTTTCAGATTTAAAGCTCTATTTTCCTCTTGGGTTCAAATGCCAAGGTTAAACTCAGAGAAATCTTTAAATACCTATTATCAGACATGTCTAATAAATACTTCTCAGCCCACTGAGGGACAGAGGATGGGAGAAGGCAGGTGAATTTGGGTCAGAGAAACAAGGATGAGAAGTCTGTGCTCTCCACATAGATACAATGGTAGGTTATAGTTCTTGAGCTGGGGATGGGTTCACAAGTACACGTTCTAGTATGTTTTAAAACCCACATATATATTACAAACCTTTTTATATGTGTTGTGTTTAAAAATAAATTTTTAATAAGGGGACCTGTGTCTCCTGACCATCGGAGAGTGAAAGGCATCTGAACTGAGGATTGGGCTTCTAGATTATACAACAACGAATAACCCAGATTAGTGTCAATTGATTCCCATAAATGCTAACCCTGATTTTCCTCACCAAAGATAATCATGAGTTAGTGACAGATTAAAGTTAGAGCTGCTGGAACCACATTGTTACAGATGCATACCAATAAAAAGTGAAGATTCTGCCCTTTCTGTCTGCTTATAAAAAACTTAAGTCATTTCCAACTTTGTCACTATGTGGGCGAGTCAACTCTCACTTCTCTGAATCTTTGTTTCCTAAACAATAGCAAGAAAACAGTAAAATAAGTCATCTAAAACCCTTTCCAGTTGACATTCTTTGAGTAGGTGGAGTTACCAAGAATGGAGAACAGAGCGAGAACAAGGATCTCCAATGCAAAACAAAAGCCAGATCCTGCTTTTTTGAAAGCAGTCCTTTTCCTAGATGAGGCCTTGCTATCCCTAAGTTCTGACTAATTTCCAGAGCTTTATATATGTAAGAGCCTTAGAGAAAATTAAGGAAAAGGGTATGCTTTTTAGCTGGTTAACCGTTCTTATCCTGGACTGCCCTGAATGCCTCAAATATACTTAATTCATCATTAGTCAAGTCTCATTTCTGAGAACATTACCAAGAGCTAACAGTCTCATCCAACCTACTTTCTCCTTCTTTTGTGGTCCCAGGCAGGGCAGAGAACCCACAATAGCAGTAATGGTGGCTGCTAGAAAGGAGGAGGGTGCAATCAATTAGAGATGAGGGGAGCCAGTGTCCTTACCTTTCGTTTAATGTCTGTAAACTGAGAAAACATAAGAGACCAATAGAAGGCCAATTCCATGATATAATAGTAATAAAGCCCACTTGTGAGAGGCTGGAAGAGAGGAAAGGAGTAGTTAGAATACCAGCTAGTCAAAAATTCATTCCATCTCTGCAACTTTCTCTGTCTCAGAGGACCAATACCCCAAATTATTAGATATCCTTTCTCCCCAACATCTTCCAAGATCTGTAATAGCTAACAGACTGTGGATTGGTGTGGAGAATTAAGGCTCTTCCCTCTGCCCCTCCACATACACATTTTCAGCTGGTACCTTTAGAGGTCAGATAAGGTTATCACATACGATAGCACAATCAAATCAGTGTGTCTAGAATTCTGGACAATTAGTGCTTTTCAGGGGATTTAAGACACTCAGGTCTTCTCTTCTTCTACCCTGTTAGCAGCCCCCTGATATTTTTCTAGTATAGATTAGAACCAAGATGCTTTTAAGGGACTCCAAGTTACCCTTGATTCAAAAAGGACACCTGAACACCTGAACCAGAAAAGAGTCTCATTAAGTACCAGGAAGCTGCTTTTCTTTCCACCCAATTAGGGTGAATATAATAGGGAATCTGGAACAAAAAAGATGGCTGGATTTCACTGTTACAGGGGCCCCAGAAATAGATACCCTGAATATATGACTCAAAGAGACTCAGCCCCTAATCCCTCAAGAATACCAAGAAAACGTGCCATCTGCCCTAAGACTGCCCTGCCTACCGTACCTTCCACACATACATAAGGCCCCTGTCTTGAAAGGGCTCAGACCGTACCTGATATGGATAGCTACGCCAGCACTGTCGGATGTCCCAGAACCACGGTGACTAAGAGAAAACAGATAATCCAGGTCAGCCTTTAGGATTCAACCCTGGCTCACCTATAAATCCCTTTCTCTATGCTAGGAGCACAAGAGAGATGGGGAAGAAAAGGGAATCCTTCATCCTTCTTGATGGAATTTATGGGTCCTTAAAGGGTCAATAAATGGCTAGGTTTTTCTTCTAGAGCAAGAAAGTGTTATTACAAATAGAAAAACCATACTTTGAGGTAAATAAGAGCAGGGAGAGCTCTAGGATAGTTTTTGGAAACATCAACATCTAGGATATAGGAAATAGGGACGTGGGAAGACAATGATTCCATTGACAACAGAGAGAGAGAGAGATCTCCATGCCAAAGATTCAAAAGTCAAAAATAATTATCTCTAATGGAGTTTCAATTAAGTCCTTTAAGGAATTTGTCTATTTCATCTAAGTTGTTGAATCTACTACTATTAAATTATTCATAATATTGTCATTATCCTTTCAACATCAACAGGATCTATAATAAGAGTCCCTTTTTCTCCCTGACATTGATCATTTGTTTTCTTTTTTTTTCCTAGGGGTTTAACAGTTTTAATTAAACCTTAAAAAGAGCCAGCTTTTGGCTTTATCAATTTTCTCCATTGTTTGTCTAATGCCTATTTCATTCTTTTTTTTATTAATTTATTTTTTAAAAATTTAAATTCAATTAACTAACATATAATGTATTATTTGTTACAGGGGTACAGGTCTATGATATTTCATTAACTTTTTACTTTTTTTTGGTTATTTCTTTCTTTTAACTTACTTTGGGTTACTTTGCTCTTCTTGCTCCGGATCTTAAAAACTTATTATCATTGATTTTAAAGCTTTCTTCTTTTCTAATATAAACATTTAAAGCTATAAATTTCCCTCTAAGCAGGCTTTAGCTGCATCCCACAAGTTTTGGTGTGTTGGGTTTTCAGCATCATTCAATTAAATATTTTCTAATTACCCCTGTGATTTCTTGTTTGATCCATGGGTCATTTAGAAGAGTTTAACTTGCAAATGTTTTCTAGATATCTCATTATTTTTAACTTAATTCCATTATGGTCAGAGAACATATCTTGTAAGAGTTCAAAATTTTAAAATTTACTGAGACTTGGGGCGCCTGGGTGGCTCAGTCATTAAGCATCTGCCCTCAGCTCAGGTCATGATCTCAGGGTCCTGGGATTGAGCCTCACATCGGGCTCCCTGCTCGGCAGGAAGCCTGCTTCTCCCTCTCCCACTCCCCCTGCTTGTGTTCCCTCTCTCGCTGTCTCTCTCTGTCAAATAAATAAAATATTTTTTAAAAATTTAAAAAATAAATAAAATAAAATAAAATTTACTGAGACTTATTTTATGGCCTAGCATATGGTCTGTCTTAATTCATGTTCCATGTATACTTGAAGATTATATATATTCTTCAGCTGCTGGCATAGTGTTCTCTAATGTCAATTAGGTCAAACTGGTTAATTGTGTTGTACAAATCTACATCCTTAGTAATTTTTTGTCTGGTGATTTTAGTCAATTACTGAAAGAAGAGTATTAAAATCACCAACCATGGTATTTGTCTATTCCATTCCTTCAGTTCTGCCTCTTTTTACTTCATGTATTTTGATACTTCAATTATAACATTTAGAGGAAAATAGTATGGTACAGTGAAACAACAAACATACAAACAAAAAAACAACCAAAAAACCAACCACCATGGAATCAGGAATCAAAAAGCCTGAAATTCTTCAACTTTGATAATTAACTGAAAAGCAGGAATAATACCTGTTTTATCCACTTTTAAAGGGTTAAAGGGTTACAGAATTTTTGTCAAATGCTTTATAAACCATCACAGACTATGCTGATTTAATCAATACTATACCATTATACTACGCTATTACAATTATTACTATTATCTCCCCCAAATAAGGGGAGAAACAGTAAAGTTATGAGTTACTGAAGTCAGACGCCAGACAGAAGACCATCTATTTAGCATATAAACCTGGGCTGTAGGCATTATAGAAAAAATAAAAGGGGAGGGGGAAAATAAAGAACTAATGGCATTTAACTTTTATTTCTAGAGATGTAGGCATGATTAGAATTCAAGAGAGGACCAGAGAGAGTTTAGACTTACCGACCACAGAAATTTAATTCCGTAGCAGAATATACATAAATAGAAAGTGAATCTCCACCTGGGTAGGCAAAGAATAGAGGTTAGATGAATGTTCACTCAAAAGAAAGTCTTTGAGGCTGAGGAAGTTTAGACAGCAGACTTGGAGGTAAGATAATTATGGGTGAGAAATACGGTAAGTTCCCAGAGGGGCACCTGGCTGGCTCAGTCGGTAGAGCATGTGACTCTGGATCTCAGAATTCTAAGTTTGAGCACCACATTGGGCATAGAGTTTACTTAAAAAATAATAATAAATAAAATCTTTAAAAAAAATGGAGGAGAAGTTCCCAGAATAGGGACAAATACTGTTACCTAAAAAGCCAAAATGATAAGAGACATCTTCCAGCTCTTTTTAAAAGATTTCCACAAGTGTATACTGGCTTTAATCAACTTTTTAATCAACTTTAATCAACTTTTCTTCCATACACTCCCTAATGATAGTGCCTAATTTTTTTTCTTGCAAGACAATGATAAATTGTGTTCTGTGTCCAGAGGATAATTAGTAAAAACCCAGTGAAATGAAGTATAGCATGTCGAGAAAAGGGATGTTTCCTACCAAAATGTCAATGTAGAGCAAGCTGGTACTATCTCTACCAAGGTGGACAGGGGTGTGCCTATTTACCTACACGAGTGCAGTTATAGGAACGTACTCCCAATCTGTTTGGGAAAAGGGAACAACATGGAACTACAACATGTAGCTTAGTGGCAAGCACATTCAAGACACTAAGGGTGACCAGTCTTCTAGTTCTCTTCTTTCCTGCCTATAATAATTTGATTTAGCCCTCTATATCCATGGACTATTGTCCTAACAAAAGAAAACCTCAGTCTGGTCACACCCTATCCTTCTTCTCACTCCCCACCTCCCTATGCACACCTACATGCTTTCACAGAATTTAGTGAGCGTTGGAGGCTTGTCTTGATTCCTCCGATGACGAAACCAGCATTGGATCTTTCGGACATCCCAGTCCAGTTGCTTTGACAGGCCCTCCAGCCTCTTCTCATCAGGATACTGTAGATGTATGAACAGAGTCAGAATATCCCTTTTTCTTCTACCCTCTCATTAAATCCCTTTGACTAGCTGAGTGGCAAAGGAGAGGTAACAACAGCAGTTTAAGGGATGTTTATCTTTCTAGGTTTCATCCCAAAACTCATTTTTAGTAAGAAGTCCTATTTTACATTATCAAAGACCTTTACTTTTATATACCTCCTTGTCTGGTCGTCTCCCTCCAGCCCAAGCTGAGTCAAAAAAACTATTAAAAACCCAACTGCCAAGGCTATCGTACCCTCATTTTGATCATGTAACTAGATAATGAGAGAAGCTGGAGCAGGGATAAACAAAATCAAGATATGATGTGTGTTTGGGGAGGGCAGGGTTGTGGTGGCTACTAGGCCTAAAATTCAAATGTATGTAAACTTGATTTAAGGGATCCTGACCCAAAGGTATTTCCCTGAGGGATAAATCTCTCCTTATAGTTATGTGAACTACCCATTCTATCCCTACCCTTGGAGATACTTGCCTTCTATCCTCCCCTGCCCTGCGGAGCAACCCCTCACATGAATCTTTCTGTTTCTTTGCCCACTTACCTTGGTAATAGATACGAACACCTTTTCAAGGATGGCATTGGGTTGGGCCTGATAGGGACCACTGTCCTGGATGCCAACATGGAGTGCACAGGGTTTGGCAATAAACCTGTAATGAGAAAAATCCAAAGCCAATTCTAAATATGGTTTGCTAATAAGCACGAAGGAAAGATCCTGATTAGGGGACTGATGGGAGGCAAAAGGGAAAACACTTGGCTGGGAACTAGGACTTTTTTATTTAGTCCTGGATTCTGCCACTGACTCCTTGAGAAGTGAGCTGTTTAAGAAATATTAGAGGGCGCCTCGGTGGCTCAGTTGGTTAAGCGACTGCCTTTGGCTCAGGTCGTGATCCTGGAGTCCTGGGATAGAGTCCCGGATCCGGCTCCCTGCTCAGCAGGGAGTCTGCTTCTCCCTCTGACCCTCCTCCCTCTCATACTCTCTGTATCTCATTCACTCTCTCTCAAATAAATAAAATCTTTAAAAAAAAATTAGAACATAAGCTCTATTTCCATTTTTTCCTGGCTTCCCTAATCACATCTTGAGCTTTAGAGTCAGAAAGACCTAGGTCAAACCTATTTTATTTACCAGTCTAACACCTACTGCCCGTAGGAACGTGGGAAATTTACTTAACCTCTGTAAGTCTGTTTTTTCATCTATAAGATGAAAATAATATCACTATCCTTGCTACTCAATATAAGGGCCACAAACCAAAAGCATTATTGGTTTTTTCTGCAAGCCTTTTGGAAATGCAGAATCTCAAACCCCATCCCAGACCTGCAAAATCAAAATCTGCATTAACAGGATCCGCTGGTGATCTTCACATGCATATTAAAATGTTAGAAGCACTGGTCTACTTTATAAAAACTTTATATGTATTCAATGAGACAATGTATTATGAAGACCATGGCACAAACAAGATGCTTAATAAATGGTAGTTTTCCTTACATCAAAAGATCAAGAAGATCTTAATTGGAGGGCCCAGTAGAACTGAGACTGTGCTCTTCCTAAATACAAATATCCTAGGTCTTGGTCACCTTCCTACCTAATCAAAAGATTATGTAGGGGCGCCTGGGTGGGTCAGTCCGTTGAGAGGCTGCCTTCAGCTCAGGTCATGATCGCAGGGTCCTGGGATCGAGCCCCACATTGGGCTCCCTGCTCCGCGGGAATCTGCTTCTCCCTCCTACTCTCCCTTTGTTCTCTCTGTCTCTCTCAAATAAATAAATAAATAAATCTTATGAAAAAAAAAAAAAAGAATATGTAAATACTTAGAACTTTCAGTAGCCTGAAAGAAGGAAATTAGGAAGGGTGAGAAATAAATTACCTGTTAGTATTCAGTTCTATTCCCAAATCTACCATTAATAAGCCATATAAACTTAGTTAAGTCACTTAACTCTTGCTTCTTGGTTTCATCATCTAGAAGAAGTAATGAGATGATTCCTAAGATTTTTTTCTATATCTATGATTCCATGGTATTATCATTGATTTTAATTAGTTTTTAACTTGTAGATCTTTGAAAATTAAGGAACTGTTCTTTGGTTCTTCAAGAAAGATCTCTCTTGGGGCACCTGGCTGGCTCAGTTGGTAGGGCACGCAACTCTTGATCTCGGTTGTGAGTTCAGGCCCCATGTTGGGCATAGAGTTTACTCTAAAAAGAAAAACAAATCTTGGAAAAAAAAAAGAGGGGCGTCTCAGTGGGTCAGTCAGTTAAACATCTGACTCTAGCTCTCAGAGTTGTGACTTCAAGCCCCACACTGGGCTCCACACTGGGCGTGGAGCCTACTGAAAGAGAGAGAGAGAGAAAGAAAGAGAAAGAAAGATCTCTCTTCTCCACAACTATAAATTTCTGTGAGCATTAACTCTAGGAAAAGCTCTATATAGTCACTTTCAGGATAAGTCAAAACCAGTTTTAGTTCTCTTAGCATCTTAAGGAGTCCCAAGATGAAATTGTGACTGGGAGGCATAAGATGGAGTGCTCTTGACCTATTTTCTTGATCTGCATTTGAATCCAGAATTTATCTCTAAGGGAGGGACTGAGAATAAGAAACTTTACTATCTTCCTCTGTGAAAACTTCTTTTACTCTTATCATCAGAGTTCCTGAGCCATGGAGAAATATTTATTCAGAGCACAAAGTTAGCCACATCTGTAATCTATTCTCTCCTTTCACAACAGGTGGTGCAGAAGTTTCATTCAAAGGCCAACACTAGTAGATACTTTAATTTGTATTTCCTGATATATTATTCTGTGTACAAATATTTTAGCACCCCATCTCACGTTTAAACTCCTTATGAACACAGAATATACAGGGAATGCTGTTTTTGTATTTACCAAGGTTCTGTGTCTGTGTTCAGTAGTTGCTCAGTAACTGACAAGTGACAGGTCTTGCAAATCCTACCCTTACTCTGTTGGAACTCAGTTTGGATCCAGGATTGATCAGCATCCAGAGAAGTAATTAAGTCAGTCATTCTTTGCTTTTGAGTTTGTGCTATATGAGAGATGAAAGCACTGTCTTCTCTCATCTACATTAATTATATGAAGAGGTACATCCAATAACAAAACAGCTTTTCCAATTCCTACTCTTGCTCCTTGATCTTGGGCTCTTCCTCAATTCAGAAGCAGTCAGGTGATTAAAGGCCCCGAGTTAGATTTTACCAGCTACGAGACTTTGTGAGTTACTCACCTATAGAATGGAGATAATATCTACCTCACAGGGCTATTTTAAAAAATGAAATGACATGATCCATGCCTAACCCAGTACCTGATATTTAGTAAACATTCATTAAAAGGCAGCTGCTATTATTATTATTTATTTTTTTTAAAGGCAGTTATTATTATTATTTTTACCAGAAACAGTTCAGTCTTGGTTCTCCCTGATGGTATCTCTGGCATAAGGCAAGAAGAGCAAGGAATCTTATTTCATACAACAGGGACAGGTTTGTACCCTGCTCACCTACGTGAAGCCAAGATAATTTTTTTTATTATCTGGACCTTGGAATGGACTTAATATCCTAGAGTTTTAATTAGCTCATATCCTGACCTTATTTGTTCACAGAGTGCAGTGAAAGACAAAGTCACTGGCATCTAGTCAGTTACAGTTATACACATACAGACCCTAAGAAAATTTATCTATTTGACAAATATTTATGGAGCACCTATTTTGTGCTTCACTGTGAAGCACAAAACCATAAATAAGGACTTACCATTGCAAAAGAATTTTTTCTGATAAAAAAATTATATATATAGATTTATTTAGGTATTTAATGAATCACCTAAATGAAGAAAGTGAAATTAGGTATTCATCCTTTCTGTTAGATAGGCACTTATCAAAGCATGCCATAGAGACTCCCAGGGTCTCAGAGACCCTTTCAGGAGGTCTGCAAGGTCCAAACACACTCATAATAATTCTATAACTTCAGAATCATTCTTCTCTCATTCTCTCATGAGCGTACAGTGGAATTTTCCATGGGTTACATGACATTGCAATAGACTGAATGCAGGAGCTGACATGAGAATACAGCTGCCAAGTACTAAAGAGACTTATAGGGGCGCCTGGGTGGCTCAGTCATTAAGCGTCTGCCTTCGGCTCAGGCCATGATCCCAGAGTCCTGGGATCGAACCCCACATCGGGCTCCCTGCTCAGTGGGAAGCCTGCTTCCCCTCTCCCACTCCCTGCTTGTGTTCCCTCTCTAGCTGTGTCTCTCTCTGTCAAATAAATAAATAAAGTCTTAAAAAAAATAAAGAGACTTATAAAAATGTAAAATAGGGGCACCTCGGTGGCTCAGTCGGTTAAGCGGCTGCCTTCGGCTCAGGTC